GGTAAGTTCGTAAACGGAGCAAGTGCGTATATAGGCTATTTTTATTTCAATATGAGCGAAATTTCTCCATTTAGTATGTTTGTTTCCTTGTTTTGTTTCACTATATCCCCTTTTATATTTCAGCTAAGAATACATGTTTGCAGTATAGAGTACTTGCATAATGCAGTAAAAAGCATTTTATAGCAAATTTGTTAATAATTCTACCCTTGCCCCATTGCACATGAAATAAAGTTTCAAAGTATTTTTAACTTCAAGTTACGCTCCTACCCCATTTTCGGGAAAAGGGCAGAGTAGTTGACATTTTAAACAATTTCCTATCAAAATCAAAATGTACAAGGAAAATTAAGGTCCTAGTTAATATTAACTAAATAGAAGTAATTGTGCAAAGCGTTCGATATCGACAGCGTTAAGTATTTACATAGCAGACTGAAAATACTTTCGTTTAAATACCAACTTTACAAAAACCAGTCTGCACTTACCCCACTTCACCTTGCATATTTATTAGCCTGAAGTAAATAACTTTGTCTAAACTCAGTTTAAGCGCATTTTTTTGTGAAACAAAATAAAAAATAATAAAATAAATTAATAAGTTATTTCAGCTAAAGGTTTATCTCTTTAGAAACGTCATAGAAAAAATAACTTCGTTTCGTGCCCAATAAAAATAATCATTTTCAATCTAATACGAGTCATTCGAATAAAATAACAAATAATTTTATATAAAAGATTGTGGTATAGTCTGTTCCACAATATCTGTGAAATTTGATACCCTGTGCAATAAACATTGCGTCTGTCCAAATATACAATCTCTTCTCTAATATGCAATAGCCTTCCAATTCTCTTAGTATCACTTCTGTCACTGAGCAGTTCAAATTATTTTGAGATGATTGCCGCAAAGGAAAATCTTGTTTAAAATCACATCCTCTACCAGCCCTTTCCGGGAGTTATACGAGTTGTGAGACACCCTGTATGCTAAATGATTCGAAGCAGTATCCTTGCGTTAGCACCCGAAAGGGCCGACAATGAATGTTAGAAATGCAGCAAAATATTTGCACACATCTCGCGAATTTGTAAATAAGTGGGTACAATATTATAAAGTGACAAATTATGTCAATATTCTCCCTAATCGTGGTTCGAAGCAAGCTACGGAACTTTATATGTTTTTAGGAATAATTTAAATATTCAAAAGATGATTAAACTGTACTACACGGGTCTCTTAATATCGATAAAACATTGGTTTAAAAGAGCTAGAGACCATTGGATACTTTAAGAGGACAAGAACTCCTAACACCGAAACCGCCTTTGTACAAAATAGAAAGCAGCGAATGGTGTCAACATGTTGGATTAGCTATCTTAGTCCTCTGATGCCCATTCAATCGAAAATGTTCGGTCTCTCATGAAGTACAAACTCTGAAGAAAGCGTGTTTTAAAATTGAAGACGTTAGTTCGCCGTGTTCGAGAAATATGCAAATCTCTTCCTGTCTCATACGCTGCAAAGCTGGTTGCAAGTGTGCCCAGACGTTGTACAGGAACAATCGCTAATGGTCGTAATTAGACACATTATTAAGTAAGTGCGTTTAGTTCTTTAAATTAGTTATTTAAATGTATTTTCGACCTATACAACTTTTTTATAGAATATATTTACTTGCACTCAGATATCGCGTCCACGCTCTTATGGAACAAACTGTAAGATTATCCTCAAGTATTACTTGAATTAGATCGAGTATTATTTCAAATATGATAATATATTATTTAAACGTGTAGCAATTTTTCAAATATACAAAGTAAATTTTGATAATGACAAATAACTCATATATCAATTGTACAACAAATTTTCCCAAACAAAGGCATGGACACACGCAGTGCTGTAATTGCTTTATTTTTACCTTTAATCTTTTTCAGTTAAATACCTAACATTTTATCTTGGACGTAAGAAAAGAACAAAATTTTGTATGAAAAGGTGTTAAATGAGATAGGATCCAGAATTAATAGTTATTGAGATATTTTAAAATTAATAATCCTGTCTCAGAAAATGGCATATTACGTTTCTGAAGGCAGCGCAATCTTTGTTAAACGTTGAAAATAATAGTGCATAGAGTTAGAAGATTTAGAAATTTTTAAAATTTGAATACACTCTATGTACAATAGTATTATAAATAAACTATATTTACCCGAAAACGATGCAAAAAGGGAAAATCTCAAATAAAACGGAGGCACCAATTGGCAGATGTTTTTCTTCGCGCGTCATCGTCAGAGAAGCTTGAGTAAAGGCCCTGTTATCAAAGGTAAGCTGAAATGTGACGTGCACGGTGTCGAAAAGGACTTCTTCTCGCACCAGCTCAATCTGTAATTCCTTGTGATAAAAATGACGAGCCACTTCTCTTATCTGACCCATCGTATAATAAACGAATCCGCGTCGTTTGCTCCTGTAATGGAGAGTCAACCCTACAATACGAAAAAATGAACGTGAATTCGGATTGATTGAATGTCAGAGAAACAGAATCAGTTATAAAGAGACAAAAATATTTTTCTTCCTGTAGCATGTGTGAAGAAACTGAGATTAAACGTAAAGGACATATATATATAACATATGTACATATATACATTGTTGAACATGCTAAGTAACCCTACTAAAAGTGCGGTGTAGGGAAAAGAGACTTCGCTTAAATTCGCTGTAAGACAATTGTGGACTTTTGACTAACAAGGGACATTACCCAATCGCCGATTTTAATGCGCTTTGAATATGATATAGAACGCAAAAAAATATTTGACACGTATTTTTTTTTATCGGCCATCGTCCATGCTGAAGGGGTGAAAATGGCCCCCAAAGTTGGGGTTGCAAAACATATTTTCTCGAATATCTCAGGAACTATTAGGCCTAGACAAAAAATTAAAAGTGCAAATTTTTCTGTTTTAGAAAGCCAATAATATGGCCAAAGTGGATTTTTGCAAAATTTATTTGTTTAAAAAATATATTAGAAATTAACATTATTTTGCAAATATTTTTAATAAAACTTTGTACTATTTTGATCAAATTTTACACATGTAAACTAAAGGTCAAAAGACAAAATACGGATAAATTGGAATTTTTAATTTCGCTTGTGGAAAAAATATTATTGTCATTGAAGTTATACGTACATTTTTAACCGACTTCGAAAAAGGAGGAGGTTACTCAATTCGATCAGTACTTTTTTTTTTTTCTTTTTCCTATGTATGTTCGCGCATTGCGCCTAGCTGGATCGACCGATCGGAATGAAACCTTTTGCATATGGTAGGTGCTAACTCCTCATTGGTACCATTATCAAAAAATTTTTCATTTTTTAATTGCAAACTGTTGTTATTGCAGAAAAACCGGCAACTTTTAAAATAAACTTTTCTCGATTTTAATGCGCTTTCAATATCTTATCGCGGACATGATTCTGTACAATTTTGTTCATATACAAATTTCGCGGAAATGTTTAGTTTTCGAGATATTAGCAAAAATTGTTGTCAACTTTTGAAATCAACTTCGAACGATTTTAATGTCCTTTTAATATGTTGTCAGGGGCATGGTTCTGAACAATTTTGTTCATATACAAATTTCGCGGAAATGTTTAGTTTTCGAGATATTAGCAAAAATTGTTGTCAACTTTTGAAATCAACTTCGAACGATTTTAATGTCCTTTTAATATGTTGTCAGGGGCATGGTTCTGAACAATTTTGTTCATATACAAATTTCGCGGAAATGTTTAGTTTTCGAGATATTAGCAAAAATTGTTGTCAACTTTTGAAATCAACTTCGAACGATTTTAATGTCCTTTTAATATGTTGTCAGGGGCATGGTTCTGAACAATTTTGTTCATATACAAATTTCGCGGAAATGTTTAGTTTTCGAGATATTAGCAAAAATTGTTGTCAACTTTTGAAATCAACTTCGAACGATTTTAATGTCCTTT